GATTTTTGAGTTGAAAACAAAAACCCATAGATTTTCCAACTATGTTAAAGGAATGCAAAGATGTTGAGGAAAATGTTTACTTACCTTTTTTACAGGTTTGTAAAATATCAAATAAAATTATTTTATATTACTAATAATTTTAAATATAGTTAGATATAAGTGTACTCTAATTTTAAAATTTTAGATTTTTAAAATAATTTATATATACATATTCATATTTACAATTACAATGAATAATGACAGTTTTTCCTCCTTCTTGTCCTTATTCTGTTCACTTCATTGTCTGCATGACCAAGTTGGTTGTGTCCTCTAGTACTATGCTGAATAGAAGTAATGATATTAGACCTCCTTGTTTTATTCTCTTTCTCAGAATGAAAGCATTCGGTGACTGAATATTAATGATTATTTAGGACTTTGTATACTCTGTCATATTAAGGAAGATTCCTTCCATTGATATTGTGCTAAATGTTAAAAACATAGATGAGAATAGAATAATCAAATGATTTTTATTCCTCGATTGCAATGAGAATTTGACATTTCTGATTTATTCTGTTAATGACTGAATTGTATGTATTGACTTCAGAATGCTAAATCAACTTTCCATTCCTAGAGTGAACCTCGCTTGTTCATAGTATGTTGTGTTTTACATACACATACACACACGCACACAGAATTTTATTTAGAAATATTTTATTTAGAATTTTGTGTTCATATTCAAGAATATATTGGTTTTGGATTTCTTTAAAAGACAATCTCAAGAGAATGAAAATACAAGCCACAGGCTGGGAGAAAATATTTGCAAAAGACATTACCTGACAAAAGACTTGTTCAACATACACAAAAAACTCTTAAAACTGATCAATAAGACAAAAAAACATTTGATTAAAAAACAGGCAAAAGACCTGAACAGACGCCTCACTAAAGAAGATATACTCACCACTAAATTGGTACTAAACGATCAATACTTAAGTGCACATATGGAAATAATATTCATCGAGGAATGGGCAACTGGGAGGGGGGAGGAGGGGATGGGTAAATTCACACTTAATGGGTGCAGTACACACTGTCGGAGGGATGGGCACACTTGTAGCTTTGGCTTGGGCAGTACAAAGGCAATTTATGTGACCAAAGCATTTGTGCCCCTGTAATATTTTGAAATTTAAAAAAATTTTTGGGCCGGGCGCGGTGGCTCACGCCTGTAATCCTAGCTCTCTGGGAGGCCGAGGCGGGCGGATTGCTCGAGGTCGGGAGTTCAAAACCAGCCTGAGCAAGAGCGAGACCCCGTCTCTACTATAAATAGAAAGAAACTAATTGGCCAACTAATATATATAGAAAAAATTAGCCGGGCATGGTGGCGCATGCCTGTAGTCCCAGCTACTTGGGAGGCTGAGACAGAAGGATCGCTTGAGCCCAGGAGTCTGAGGTTGCTGTGAGCTAGGTTGACGCCACGGCACTCACTCTAGCCTAGGCAACAAAGTGAGACTCTGTCTCAAAAAAAAAAAAAAAAAAAAATTTTTAAAAAGAAGATATACAGATAGCAAATAAGCACATGAAAAGATGCTCCGCATCATATGTCATTAGGAAAATGCAAATTAAAACACCAGTGAGATTACACTACATACCTCTTAGAATGGCCAAAATCCAGACTACTGACAACACTAAATGCTGGTGAGGATGTGGAACAACAGGAACTCTCACTCATTGCTGGTGCGAATGCAAAATGGTATAGCCACTTTGGAAGACCGTTTGGCAGTTTTCTTACAAAATGAAACATACTCTCACAATGATCCAGCAATTACACTCCTTCATATTTACCAAAAGGAGGTGAAAATTTATGTACACACAAAATCCTGCACACAAATGTTCATAGAGGCTTTATTCATAATTGTCAAAACTCAGAAGCAACCAGGATGGCCTTCAGAAGGTGAATAGATAAATACACTGTGGTACATCTAGACAAGAGAATACTATTCAGCACTAAAAAGAATGAATGAGCAATTAAACCATGAGAAGACAAAGAAAACCTTAAATGCATATTACTAAGTGAATCAAACCAATTTGTGAAGGCTACATACTATATGGTTCCAACTATAAGATATTCTGGAAAACGCCACGTTATGGAGACCGTAAAAGGTTAGTGGTTGCCAGGGGTTGGGGGAGGGAGGGATGAACAGGCAGAGCACAGAGAATTTTTTTAAGCAGTATTCTGTATGGTACTGTAGTTGTGGATACATGCCATTATATATTTGTCAAAACCTATAGATATACAACATCAAAAGGAAACCCTAATGTAAACTGTAAGTTTAGTGTAATAATTTTGGACCTACAATAGATTCATCAGTTGTAACACATGTACCACTCTGATACAGAATGTTGACAGTGACAAAGGCTGTGCATGTGTAGAGGCAGGGAATGTATGAGTACCCTCTGCAGTTTCGGCTTAATTTTGCTGTGAACTCAACATTACTTGAAAAAATAAAATCTCTTTAAAAGAAAAAAAGTTATATATTTTGGGATTTAGAATATTACTACATATTTTATGATACTATGAAACTGTTAATTATTTTAGACTTGATAATACTGTTGTGATTGTTTATAAAACCTGAAAGTCATTTCTTTAATTGAGAAACATAATACTTTTTGTCTGTTGGTCACACTGTAAAATGCTCTGAAATATTCCCCTTCAAACCCTATTTCTCTCAATATCTTTTACTTATTTAATTTCCAGAGAATTTTTATGCATGAGTATTAAGGACATGTATATCCTTATATGTTACTATTGTCTAAGGTTGGCATTTAATTCATTTTAATAAGATGAAAAAGGTACTGCTGATAGTGACACAAATAAAGAAGAGAAAATGGTAGAAAATACAGATTTAAATAGTTTACTTTTGCCTGCTATCTGTAATAATGTCTTCCTTTGTTTTTAAATATATATTTATTTCCTGAGGATTCTTTTACATTTCACGTGTTTCAAGGTTTCATCATTTTCATGGATGATAAGTACTTGTTTTATTTCAGTTCTCTGATGTAATGGATATTAATACAGTGTATATTCATCCTTTAAAGAATATACATCTATATTCTAGGAAGAATTAATCTGCTTCCATTTTCTCTTAAATATCAAAACATTATGATACCTAATTATAAAGTATCATGTATTTCTCAAAATTATAATGATTCTTGAGAAATCTAATGTATAAGAAAACCTCTTTGTATTTGGAAGAGTTCATGTTCTCCTCTTTTCTTGCTATGAAGGACACTGTACAAGGTTCCAGAATGCTCTCCTGGCACATGCCATTGTTTGTGTCTACTCCTATAACTGTCCAGCCTAAAGAAATAGCTCATTATCTGCATTCTTGCTTAGATATTTATTGTTCATATCTGAAAGAGAGATGCTTTCTTCTTTTTATTTTATGTTTATTTAAAAAACTAAGGTCAGGATGGGGCTCTGTAATTTGCTCCAGCTGTCATATGCTGTCAAAGACATACAATTTATAAGTCCCAGAGCTGATGTTTAGCTGTGATAAAACCTAGTTTTGAAAAATAAACATATTGAACTCTAACTTTTACCCAGGTTTCAGTGTCGAGGATCCTGATATATTTATAACATGAAAACCTCTTTTCTCATATTAAGATTCCCTAACCTCAATCAATAGGTGAGAGAAAAACCAAAGCTCAGTGTTTGTGTCAACCCATCTCTTTGTCATGAAACCTCTAGACTAGTACAAGGAACTAAAATTTTAGCCAATCCAAACTCAAGTATTAAAATTATAAGTCTGAGTTATTTTCTCTCATTCCAATAGTTCGAATAACCTAGTTTGAAACCAATATACAAAAACCTTCAACAAACTGGTAGGATATAAAAAGGGAGCATCCATTTGAAAGTTAGAAACTTTCTCCACTAAGTGGAATCAAAATTGTGTTGGCCAGGTGCAGTGGCTCACACCTGTAATCCCAGCAGATCAAGAGCTGAGGCAGGAGCACTGCTTGAGCCCAGGAGTTCAAGGCTGCAGTGAGCTATGATGAGGCCACTGCCATCCACCCTGGACAACCAAGCAAGACCCCATCTCTAACATACATACATACATACATAAAATTGTGTTATTAGAACTTCAAAAAATGAAATGTAATCTCAGCATACATTGAGGTCTACATCAAATGTACTTACACACTCATATTCATATAGATAATAGTAATTAGTTTTCTAATACATTAGTATTAGTAATTAGTACTTAGTAACCATTCCTGACCTAATTTTTTCACCTTTTCCCCTGCTTACCACTCTTGATATCACCTGAGTTTCAGGTCTATCATTTTATATACCATTACCAGTTATCTTAAATATATTTGTCCCAGTGGTTCTCTGCCTGAAACACATTTCTTCCAGATTATCACAGTAAACAGTAAATTCCCTCTCATCATTTACAGTGCAACCCAACAATCACCTTTCAAAAACATTTCACTCTGTCAAAAACTGTTCCCTTCCACTAACATAGTTACAATTTTAAATACTGTTTTATTTATGTAAAAGCAGTGATAATTTTCACATGGATTTTATCTGCTTTATTACATATGTATTGTGTGTTCATTAACATAAAATGTAAATTTCAGGACAGCAAGGGTCCAGTTTATATGGTGCTTTGCCTCTAACTCAGAACACTTCACGCTGACAGGAAAATAGTAAATACAGAGTAAATACATTTTAAATGAATAAAATAATTTATAAACATAGTACAGAAGATTTAATGAAGGTCACATAACATAATGTAACTTTTTTAACTTTGCCAAAGAAAAATTAAAGTTACAGCTGGAAGGTGGGAGTTACTGAGGAGAATGAGGGAATTATAGGGCCAATAATAATACCTCTTAAAAGAGGTCATTATGGAGGGAGGACTCCTGGAATGGGGGTGTAAAGAACTCAGCAAAACCTACTCTGGGGAAGTCACCAAACAAACAACAAATAAAACACAACAACAACCAAAACAAAAGGTCACTGGGTGGGATGGAGCAGTAAGAATCCAGAGATGCTGTGATACCTAAAAGTTTTAAAAAGAAAATTACATAATATTGCAAACAAGAAAGTGTGACCCATTCTCAGGAAAGTAGTAATCTATGCAAACACTCTCTAAGGGACCACAGATCAAAGGTTGCAATCAGACACAGGTTGCAAAGAAGCTATTATCAAAATGTTCAAAGAATGAAAGGAAACCATGTTTTAAAGAATGAAAAGAAAGTATGGTGACAATATTCAGTAAATAGAGAATATCAATAAAAAGATAGAAATAATTTAAAAAAAAGAATGAAATGGAAACTCTGAAGTTGTAAATTACAACAAACAATTAAAAAAAAAAATCACTAACGTGTCATCAACAGCAGATTTAACCAGGGCAGAAAGAACAATGAGTGGACTTGAAGATAATATTAGTGGAAATTATGCCCTCTGAAGAACACAAGGAAAAAAAAAAAAACAGAGCCTCGGAGACCTGTGTGAACCAATACATCATGCCAGCATTGGCATAATGAAGTAGCAGAAGGAGAGTAGAGAGAAAAGGGGGAAGAAAAAAATATTTGGAGAAATACTGGCCCCAAACTTCCTAAATTTGATTTAAAACATTAATATATACACATTAATATATAAACATTAATGTAATATATAAAAAGCTCAAAAAATTCCCAAGTAGGATAAACACAAAAGAGATCCATATCTAAACACATCATAGTTGTTGTGTGTTGAATTGTGTCCCCAAAAATAATACATTGAAGGCCTGACCCCTAGTACTAGACAATGTGACCTTATTTGGAAATAGGATCTTTTAAGATTTAATCAAGTTAAAGAGAGGTCACGCTGGATTAGGGTGGGTCCTAATCCAATGACTAATGTCCATATAAGATAATAAAATTTTGGACATAGACCATGTGATGAAGGCAGAGATGAAGCTGCAAGTCAAGGAATTCCAGGTTGCCAGCAACCACCAGAAGCTGCAAAGAAGCAAGGAAAAAGCTTCCTAGAGCTTTCGAGAGAGCATCGTCCTGATGACACCTTGGTTTCAGACTTTTAACCTCCAGGACTACTATGAAACAATACATTTCTGTTGTTTTAAGCCAGATAGTTTATAGTAATCCAACAGACCCAAACATATATGAGATAAAAAGATAATCTTTTTCAATAAATGGAACTGGTACAATTTTATAGCCCCATGCCCAAAAGAGAAAACAAACTTCAATTCATGTCTCTTGCAGTATATGAAATTACTAAAAATGTAGTTTATAAATATAAAAGAATGATTCATAAAAGAACAAAAAACTATAAACTGGACTTCATGAAAACTAAAACTTTTACTCAATGAATGACACTATTAAGAAAATGAAAAGACACACCACATATAAGGAAAAAAGATTTATAAGCTATATATTTAATGAAGGATTTGTATCTAGATTATATAAAGAATTCTCAAAAGTCAATAATAACAAAACAAAAAAATGGCAGAATTTTAGACACTTCGCCAGAGAAAACAAATAATCACATGAAAATATGGTTGTTAGTCACTGGGATAATCCAAATTAAACCACAATAAGACAAGACACAATTACACACCTATTAGAATGACTAAAATTAAAAAGACTCATCACAGCAACTGTTAGTGAGAAGTGAAATACAAAATGGCACAACCAGTTTAGAAAACAATTTGGCAACTTAAAAGGTTAAATATATGCCTACCGTGCAATTCAGGTATTCCAGTTCTGTGTTTTGTTTCTTTCTTGGAGAAAGCAAGCACTGGTCCATATTAAGATGTGGAATTAAGCAGTTATGGCAGTTTTATGTGTAATAGCCTGAAATGGAAAACAACTCAATGTTAATCGACAGGTGAATGGATAATAAAATGTTGGTGCATTCCTGCAATACAATACTGCTTAGCATTTTAAAGTATGAACTACTGATACATACAATATGAATAAATATCAAAATAATCACAGAGAGTGAAAGAAGCCATACAAAAACAGAGTACCTCTAGTATGGTCCCTTCACATAAAGCTCTAGAACAGGAGTTGGCAAACTTTTCTGTAAAGTGAAAGATAGTAAATATTTTAGGCTCTGCAAGCCATGAAGTCTGTCCTAACTGCTTTTGTAAGGTGAAAGCAACCATACAGGATAGGTAATCAAATGAGTGTGTCTGTGTTCCAGTAAAATTTTGTTTACAAAAACAGGTGGTTGGGCTAGATTTGACCAACAGGCCATTATTTGCTAATCATTGCTCTGAAAAATGTGAACTAATCTAATCTACCATGACATAAAACAGATGAGTGGGTGTAGGGATGGAAAAGGGGCAGGAAGGAGGGATTGCAAAAGAGCATTAGGGAACTTCTAGGGGTGACAGAAATGGTAATTATCTTGATTGTGGTGATTGTTTCACAGGTGCTTACATATATTAAAATCTAATAAATTGTGAATTTTAAATAAGTTCAGTTAATTATAGGTCAACCATACTCAAATAAAGCTATTAAAAATCAATTAATGCATTTTACCACATTAACAGAATAAATTAGAACAACCATATGATCACATTTATAGATGCATAGAATTTTTTCAAATTTGACATCCCCTTAGGATATATGACACCTACACTTGACAAATAGTATATATTCAATAAAAGTAGTTTTGAATATGGGAGGCAGGAGCATAAAGGAAAAATATAATGGTGTAACACAGGATTTTTAAAGCAAGTAGGCTATTGTTCAAGTCCAAAATAAGCTATTTACTAACCATGTAAATTAGGGCCAATGACATTAATAGTTACCTCATTGGCCTAGTTACCATAACCAATAAAATAGCTTACACAAAGTGTGTTGTAGAACTCCTGACTTTGAGTGAGTAGCTGTTATTATTGCTGTGGTTTTCTAAGTTTAACATTTAAAAAATCCATAGAGATCCTGACATGCAGTATCCAGTAGACTTATCAATAATTAATAATAATGAGTTGGTTACAATTTTAAACTATTTATTATGTCAACTTTCAATCATACACTTAAAGGAGAGAGAATTAGATGATGAATTTTCATGTACTCAAACACCACTTTCATAGTAATTATTTTGCTATTGTTTATCATCTGCCTTCTCTCTCTCTCTTTTTTTGGCTAGAGTATGTCAACATAAATTCTAGACATCACAGCATTTTACCTGTAAATACTTAAATATGTCTGAGATGGATTTTTTTAGTGAAAGACTTTTATCTTTTAGGTCCTTATATTCATTTTCTGGTGGCTTAACGAATAGAAATTTATTTTCTCAGAATTTTGGAGGATACAAGTGTGCAATCAAGGCAGGGTTGTTTCTTCTGAGGCCTCTCCCCATGGCTTGTACATGGCCATCTTCCCCCGTGTCTTCAAGTGGTCTTCTCTCTGTGTGTGTCTGTGTCCTAATCTCCTCATCTTTAAGGACACCAGTCAGATTGAATTAGAGCCCACTCTAATGACCTCGTTTTAACTTAACTACCTCTCTTTAAAGATACCATCTCCAGTTATAGCCACATTTTGAGGAACTGGGGTTATAACATCAACATATGAATTCTGGGGGACACAATTCAGCCTATCACAGACCTTTAATATGACAGAGAATTGGGACAGTCATGAAAAAGGTTGGCTCTTATCTCCCTGTATAGCTGTCAGCTCCTGTACCTTGAGATCACCCCCGTGTTTATACCAAAGTCACACTCTCTGAGCTGCTCTCAGCCAATGTAGGGCACAGAGGGGACACCAGAGCCAGGCCATTTCCACCCTACGTGGATCTTCTCTAATGGGCAATAACTGCTCTGGGTCTCCTCAATGTCCTGGTTGAGACCTTCTCAGAGCTGCACCATGGTGTGAGGTTTCTCCTAAAACCCATGTTCCTTCCCTTTTTTGTCCTTTCTCTTTTCACAAGTGTAAGACCTGCATCATTGTCTAAAAGCCCTCCCTACCTACTCTGGCCTTTTCACCTTTTTCCTATGTGGATGTCTTCGCCAGTAAGCCTTGTACACCTGTTATTCTATCTTGCCATCTGACCCTTAGACACAAGAAGCATTCTAATAGTAAATGTTAAAATCGATAAGAAGGCAATTAAGCAATTGAATGGCAATGATGGGAGTCAGTTTTCTCACTGATGGATCGAAAGGTTGCAGATAAGGCAAGAAGGCTAGAATGATTCATGTGGTAACAGATTACATTTTTTAGAGACATCAAGGGAAACATGTTCATCTTAATGTAGATTCAAATAATTACATATAAACTATTTATAGTTATGTTTCCATACGCAGTTTAGTACACATGCATACATTTCCTTGCTTTCTTAGCTGAATCGGCCCAGGAAAAAGACACTCCAGTAGCCATGAGCATACCCATCACTCAGATCTTGGTTTCTACTGCCATTCTTCAATAAAAAGAATCAAGCCTTTCTCTGCCCATAACATTTTTATTTTTGTTTTACCTAATTGTGATCACATGAGTTATTATTTTAATGGCAACATGACATGCCATGACCAGATGCAAAACATTTGCTAATTTAATAGATGAAATGGTATCCAGTTGTTATGAACAGAACAAAGGCTAGAGGAAATATCAACATGCTAGTAATAGTTGTGCATGGATAGTAAGCCTATCTTTTTCTCTCCCTGGATTGTTTCCCAATTTTTTCATATGAAATAGGTGTCAAAATACCATGTTGTCATTCTGCAGTTAAAGACAAGAAACGCAGTCACATAAGCTGGGAAAGGGGAAACAAAACTGAAGAGAAATGCATTATTTGATCATTAAACTATCTTTTAAAGAAATAAATAGATAAATAAATAGAACCAGGGCTTCTTGAAGAAATGGTTGATTCTCGTACTAGGGCAGGACATCTAAAGGATGAGCCTGGAGCATCTTGTAGTGCCAGAAAGTCAGGGAGTGCTAAACCAAACAATAAAACAAAAACCACGTAAACAAACAAAAAATACTCTCTCACACACCATGATGCAATTAGGTCAAAGGGAATTAAGAGCCAACATAAATGGTTCCCAAAGCTGGAATAACTTGAGCAACAAAATAAAGATGTATTGGATTATAACACAAGCTAAAAAATAAATACAAGTCTATATTGATATAATTACATGAGTGAATAAATAAATAATTGGGTGAGAAGGGAATAAATCTCATGAGCAGAATTCTGAATAATCCATGATGATCTCCACACTTGAGGAGGTGAAACACAACTCCCCACTCCATAAGTGCAACTTTCTTCCTAAGAGTACAGTATGGAATGGAGGGTGGTGGTGATTACCTTACAGTGAAGAAACTGACAAGCATTACCTTAGTCAAGTGATTAACATCAAGACTGATACCATGTTGATAGTATGTACCCTTGATATGATGTGATAAAAATAGCACTTTGCTTCTATGATTATCCTTTCAAAACCTCATAACCTCAGCCTAATCATAAGAAAAATACCAGATCAAGCCCAAATGAGGACAAAATATCTGACCAGTAGTCTTCAGAACTACTGGTCATCAAAGGTCATCAAAACAAGCAAAGTCTGAGAAACTGCCATAGCCAAGAGGATGCTAAGAAAACATGAGAAATAAATGGAATCCTGAATGGTATCCTGGAACAGAAAAAATAGATATCAGCAAAAGACTAAGGAAATTTAAATAAAATATGGAATTTAAATAATGTATCAATATTGGTTCATTACTTATAATAATTGTACCATACCAATTTAAGTTGTTAATAATAAGGGAAATTAAAGTGTGTGGTATATGGAAACTGTTCTGTTTAACAATTTTTCTGCAAATCTAAAACTGTTCTAAAATAAAAGGTTTATTTAAAATTTGAAAAAAGTCTGTAAGTCCAATGCCATGTGGATTTTGATTGCAACAACTAATATTTATTTAGCACTTTCCAGGCTCCAAAGCACTTTCTACTGCATTTACTCATTGAATGATAAATCCATTACCTTCCAGGATTTTATGATGAGATCATGTTGTAAAGCCTGTCTAAAAAGCACATTAATAAAACATGTAACTGTCATTATTTCAATAAAATCATGTTCTGCTCAGGAAAAAAAAAAAGAATCATAAAGGACCCGAATTTACCAGTACAGCTTTTAATTTCTGGCAAATTTCACATCTTTGCTCTGTATGTCAAGCCTGTTCTGGGCATGTTGGGTTTCTATTTTGCAGATCTCCAGTGATGTTAACAGCAGTTGTGAATACTTAATGAAATTCATCATGCATTTGCAACAAATTGTTCACCTCTCCCAACCCCAGAGAGCAATGTGGAAGTAGAAGAAAAAGAGCTGGCAATGAATTCTCTCCCTCCTCACCAGAGCAGGAGGAGGTTGCTGACAGACGGGCACCTGCCAGAGATTCAACAAGCACTCAGGTGTCTCAGAACCGCTCTGCTCCATATGGACCTTTTTGTCCATCCTTCTTTCCAATTTCATTCCCCGTCATGCCACTTCTCCCCTTCTTCCCTTTGTTTTGTTAATGCATCACTTTCTCCTCTCCTCTTCATTGCTTTAGGCCTGTGCAGTCCCCAACCCCTGGGCCGCCTACTGGTACCGGTCAGTGGCCTGTTAGGAACCAGGCTACACAGCAGGTGGTGAGTGGTGGGCAAGCCAGAGAAGCTTCATCTGTATTTACAGTCACTCCCCATCACTCACATCACTGCATACGCTCCACCTCCTGCCAGATCAGTGGCAGCATTAGATTCTCATAGGCCCATGAACCCTACTGTAAACTGCACATGAGAGGGATCTAGATTGTGCACTCCTAATGAGAATCTAATGCCTGATGATCTGAGGTAGATCTGAGGCAGTGAT